CACAAATACACATAAGCACACACACATATGTATGAACACACAAGGCACACAGCACACACACATGATGGCACGCACAATTACACATACATGCAGAGACACACACAAGGCACACACATCACATGCCCTTGCACACATGATTACACATGCATGCAGATAACAAACAAATCACACACGATTGCAGACACGATTACGCATACATGCAGAGACACACAATCACACCTGCATGCAGAGACACACACATCATCACGTGCACGATGGCACACACGATTACACATGCATGCACGCACACACACACACCTGGGACTGTCCTTTACTGGTTTTCAGTTTCGTCTCATTCTTGCTCATGGTGGGGCAGATTGACAGGGGCTTTTCTCCATGTACAGATTAATGAGAAGCAGTGACAATGGCCAAGCAGACCCCTGCAGTTAGGTGGGCAGAGAAGGCTGAGCGTGGTCAGAACAACAGCCCCCAAATGTCCGCATCCATCCTGGGCCCTGGGTCTGGGGACTGTGTAGGTTTTGGGGCAAAGGGGAATGCAGGCTGCTAACCAGTCGACCTTGAGTTGCAGAGAGGACCCTGTGTTATTCCAGGGGGTCCCATCTGATAGTACCAGGGGTCCTTAAGTGTGGGGGAGGGAGGTGGAAAAGTCAGCATGGGAGAGATTCCACACCAGGAGGACATGGGGCCCATCGCTGGCTTTGGAAGTGGAAGAGGACCTCGAGCTGAGCATCGTGGTGGGCTCCAGAAGCTGTGAAAGGCAAGAAAAGCCCCCCCCAACAGCCCCCAGACAGCAGCAGCCCTGCCAACCCCTTGATGTCAGCCGTGAGACCCCGGTCGGATTTCCCACCTCCAGAGCTGTAAGGTGACAAATCTGCTGTCCGAAGCAAAAAAGTGTGTGGTCACTTGTCACAGCAGTGATAAGAAACTCGTACTCTGAGGAGTCCTCTTCGTAGAAGTGGACACTGCGTTCCCACCACATGCCTCTCCAGGACTTGAGTTTACTGTTAGGACATCACATTATACCCAACAATGGGGTGACTCGGCTGGCAAACGGTGCCTGCTGAAACGTGAGAATGCGCTAGTCTGGGGCACAAGCTTCTCACAGGACGGGGATAAAGGACATCCCCAGAGGGCCAGGTGGGAGGCAGGAGGCCACGGCTTCCACAGCACTGGGACCTTGCCTCCCTGCTGCACCATTGTGGGGCCTGTCCCCCGCCTGCTTGCAGCAGTTCTGTCCCCCAGAACCAGCCTGTGCCACCGCTGGAGTCACCTGTATAATTGTGCTGATTTTATAAAAATGAGTGGAAATGGAAAAAATGAATGTGCTATATCACCTATAAAAAGTGTAAGCCGCCTACAGTTTAATAGAGATGAAGATGGAGACCATCAGGAGCAGGATGCCCATGGGGACCTGAGCTGCTTAATGGGGGTCCTGCTGTGAATGAAATGAGAGGAACCCATGGCCAGGTCTACTGAGACGACCAGCTGAGTGGGCATTTACTCAGCACTTGCTGTGTACCAGCACTTCAGTTTCCTGACCTCATCTGGTCCTTTCATCAACATTCAGGATAGGCGAGGCGCTCTACCCTTAGATGCTGGGAAGTGCACACACAGAGGGATTAAGAGGTGGTGCCGCTGAAGGGATCACAACTATGAAGTGGCAGAGCTGGGATTCATGCCCAGGCAGCCTGCCTCCAGGACCCAGCCTCACTGCCCTGACGTCACCACCGCCCTGAGGTCACCTCCCTTCTGCTCCTGGTGCCTTCACTTCCAACCCCTTCCATGGTGACTGACAGATCCTGGAGTCTGTCCTGCATCGTTCAGGTCTCAAATACCCGGTTAGAAAGGCAGGACTGTTAACACATGAGGAAACTGAGGCTCAGACCCCAGCTGTCTCAGCTAGCACTTCACAATGCACTTCTCTGAGCCTGGACTTCCAGCCCTAGAACCGTGCTGTTGGGTGCATGGGGGACACCAGTGCACTATCCCTTGGGAACGCAGAGGCAGAGAGCACTTATCATCAGACGTGCTGAATCATAAGCATTTAATACTGGCTGGGAACACATCTCCAGAATAAGCCGGTGCTGCTTTAAGACGCGGCTGGACTTTTATTGACCCAACAGAAGCCTCTGGTAGAAAAGGCAAGAGCAGTTCTATCCATAGGTCAGAATTTATTTCACATCATCTCATTTATAGCATTCTCAAGTACAAGGTTCTTCCCAAGATCATTATACTTGCAAACAGAGAAGCACAACTTGGTAAGGCACCAGGTTACCATGGTCAAGAGAAGACTTTGCTCTCGTTTTGGCTTGTGGAATACCTGGGTAGAGGACAAAGTTACAAAAGGTCCATTTGCCATCCATGGTAAAAAGAGATGAACAGTTTGGGGCATACTGTATTCTTAAATTATGACATTGGCCTAGACAGCAGGAGCTCAGCTGCAGTGGCGTTTCCTAAAGCACGACTCACATAGTCTTCTCTGCAACACCAAGCCGCAAGTTTAACAACGTTAGAGCTTTGAAGTGAGCGCACTTTATAGTTAACTCAAGCACAAACTTTAAAATAGCCCAAATCCCTATTTTCACAAAGAAATAAAGAGGAATACCTCGAGTCCAATCGTACCTTTCCTAGTCTGTAAAATGTAGCAACATGTTAAAACAACGTTGCATTTAAATGCCGCCTGCTAGATTTTATAGCACTAACTGTCCAGACTATACCAAGCCCAGTTAAAAATAAACCGCTTGAGTAAAGCTTTCAGAACTGGGCCACACCGGTGTCCTTCCCTGACCACTTTCCCCCAATGGCTGAAGGCAGCAGGTGCCCGAGGCCCCTCATGGGCACCGAGTGCAGCCCACACACTGTCACATGCATAAGACTTGTTTAAAGTTCTGTGTTCTGCCTTAAAAATTAATATGCACTGTGCTCCATGACATTTGCTTTACTATAAAAATGACATTTAACATCACTTACCAGCCAAATACCTCATCCCCCCACCCCCACCCCCGCCACTCACCAGGGCAGGCAAAGCCCCGTCTGCGAAGCCTGTCTTTCCACAGATGGTAAGCCAGACACAGCAAGATGAGAACGTGTTTAATTAGGTCTGTTTTAAGCATTTCCACAAATGAAGTAATCTTATTCATTCAGGTTGTGACTAGATGCTTCAGGAAACTATGACTGATATCAATTTCAATGTATTCAAAAATCAATATTTAAGTTTTAATGTATTATAGTGGTTTAAAAATTAACCTTTGTTAAACAAACTCATTAATTTTATTTACCCACAGGAATAAAAGGAACCCTAACCTAAAGTATAACCTGATCTTTTACATTTTCTATAAAAAAACACAAATTGGGTTTTTTTAAATATTAGAAAGACAACACAACACCCACAGAAAGATAAAGTTCCCCTATCCACTGACTTCACAGAGATGTCCCTAGTCACTCACTGAAGTCATTCTGGTGACTCTGCTTCCCCCTGGGCAAGCTGGATGTTGCAAGTCAATGTGTTCAGGTCGCCTGTGGTGTCTCAGAAGCCCACGGACCACAAGTAAAAAACTACTCTCCTGATGTGGCACTTTTTTCTCCAGAAGACTCAGCCCAAAAAACTGTCACCTGGAAGGACGTGTTTCACACACGTTGTTTTCTGACCATCCCATGGTAAGGAAGCTACCATGGCCTTAGCACATGCCTGGCTGCCACAGCAGACCCCACCCTGGTGGCTCCCCAGCCACAGTGCTGGTTCCTACTGCTGTGCCCAGAAAGCCATCTGTGGACTTAACTGGTTGTTTCAATAGGTTTCAAGAAATGCTCATTTTATTTTTTGAGACGGTCTCAAAAACGTATAAATTAAGATATACTTAAAATCATGTCTAGGGTATAATCAAAAAGACGCCCGTTCAAAAAGTGTTCATAGGAAGAGAAAACCAAGCTTCCCTAACATCTATTTTTGTGGCCGTACTTTTCCCCCTTAACTGTTTAAAAATCTGAATCAGCAGCAAATACAGCCATATATACAGACCCATGTGTGTGGGTGAACACACAGAAGTATTTTGGCTGAAGAAAGGTATGTTTTGGGTCCCACAAACATCTGTTGTCGGCCTTTCCCTGCAGATAGGACAACTTCAGTACGGACATTCAACAACAGTCCAGACACACGCTCCTTGATGCTCTAGTTACCCAGCATTTAGGCAGCTTGGCGCATGCACCACACATTGTAACCAATGTCACATTCTGATCTCAATATGAGTCACTCCCTAAAGAAAATGTAAGAACTGACCAAGACTTGCTCTCTTCTGCACGGCACTTTGGCTACGTTCATACAATGTCAACCCAACTGGTCTAAGGAAGAAAGATCCCAATAACGAATTTACTTTTCAGTCTGCACTGTGCCATATGGCCAGTGGGATGTTTTTTGCTGACTATTCTTAAATCTTAAGCAACCGGGTAACAGTAAATGATAGAGTGACTGGTCTGAGGTTTTGTAGGCTGAGGTCTCTCATCCTTTTATCAGATTTTTGCTTCTTTTTTTTAAGGGTGTGGTTTGCATGGAGTTTCAAAGCACAAGGTTGTTCTGAGTGTGCTGACACTGTGTGTGAAGTAGCCCTTAATCAAGAGAGGCTCGACCACAGCACCCCCTCTCCTGTTCCTCTGTGTACTACAAAGTAGCAACATTTCATTCTTGACAACCAAATTTGAGGTGCCTTTTTCATATTACAAATAAATTAATCCAGAGGTCCAGAGCTCTCCATGTGCAGAGTTATGAGGAATTCTCAACTTACTTCAAAAGTATCTTGCATAATAAGTATCTCATCCCTAAGCTCAGACAAACACCCAGAAAATTAAAGGCAAGAAAGAACATGTATGTTGAGAACTCTTCCTGTAGTACATGTGCACGCGCATTCTCTACACAGGTTCTACACAGGAAAACGAGTCATGTCAGCTAATGTAGCTTCTCATATCTGTCTCATCTGAAAACAGCCACTCCAGGGCTCTTGCCAGCATCACACGAAACAGCAGTATTGTTTCCACCAGGACTTGGACAGGTTCTTCATTTTATCCGGAGTCCTGCTCTTAGACTTCTTTGGCTGTTGCTGAGAGTCCGAGTATTGAATGCAGGCGACGATGGCCGCATCAGAGACCTCTTTGAGGTTTTTCTGAGTCGAGTGATGTAGGAGGCGGCTTTGATCTCCTCGGCGCACAGCTGAGCTGCCTCCTCAGGCACTGGCTTCTCTTTGCACTTGTCCAGCTCGATGAGGACTTTGACATCTTCTCTCAGGTCCGACTGTGTCCCAACTAGGATGATGGGGGCTTTGGGGCAGTGGCACCGGATCTCCGGCACCCACTTCTCACTGATGTTTTGGAAGGACGAGGGGCTCACCACACTAAAGCACAGTAGGAAGATGTCTGCGTTGGTGTAGCAGAGAGGCCTCAGCCTGTCAAACTCATCCTGCAACCAAGCAGAGCGCCCAAAAGTTATTTTCTAAAGCATTCTCACGAGCAAAATGAACATCTTAGCATTTCTCCCGAAAGGGGCTGACAGGTAACAGAAATTCCACTGGTTACAGAAGTAGAGCCTGCGTCTTAGAAACTACCCCACTGCTTAGCGCAGTGGAGCCAGCGCTCCTGGTGCAGGTGCAGCAGCTGTCTGCTTCCAGCGCCCCGACACTGCCAAATGTGTTCAATGCTGGCATCGGTGCTCACAACCTACGTGCCACCTACCACAGGGAAAATACTTTAAGTGGGTGGGTTTTAGAAATGAAATTTGCTTTATCTAGCCTTCAGCTCAGAGTAACCCAGACTTACTCTCTCAACTCTTGGTACCTGGAAACTCTCCTGAAATTCAAACCACATCCACGCAGACCCCCAGGACTCCCACCTGACTCCAGCAAACCCCAGTCTACGAACACAGGTATTCTCTCTAAGAACCCAGCCCTCCCCTCCCCGCTCCAGGCAGCTGGAAATGACACCGGCTTCACCCCACCTATGCTGGGCACACATTCTGCCCATACCATGCACAACAGTGCAGAGTGATGTTAATCAGACACAAGGACAGACCCAGAAGGGGCCACTGGCACCAGCAACTCAGAGACGTTGTGCCTCTCCGTGTCAGTCACGGACACCGCTCAGCACACTCTCATTCTGGCTGCATCTTCTTGTTTCCTTCTTTTCCTCATTTTCTCTCAATTCCTTTCTCCTTCCTTTATCTCTGCCAACACCAGTGCCTTAGACAGAAAGAACGGGCCCGTCCCACCATACGTTAAGGGATAGAGAACTGGATTGAGTCAGAGCTGAATATAAATAAACCTGCTGTCATCTACTTAACAGATACACATACTGAACACCACCCACACGCCAGGCACAGGGTCAGGAGAGGGGACTCCATTGTGAACAGACGTCGGTCTCCAATTTGGCATCTCTTTATAGCAAACCTCCCACAGTCCCCTGCAGTACCAAATTGGGCTAACTGAAAACGTTCACTCAACTCTTTCATAGGAAGATATGTACATCATCTCATTCCTATTTAAAATTTACATCTGTGGGTGCCAACCATCCTCAGGTATAACGTCACTGATAATTTCCCAACAGCAGGAAAAAGTTCACCAGTGCCCATGCTCACATTACTGAACTGGCATACTTGACTATTTACAAAGTATTGTTTACACGTACATCATTCTCCATCAGTGGCTTTTTTCTCTAGATACGAAGGAAACCTGCATCTGTCTTATCTGAATGTTCTGTCGTTATCTGAGGCTCGTATTTCATTTAGGGCAACAACCAACTAATCATGTGAAAACCAGCCAGCTAAGACGCTCAGGAACGAATACGGCATCTCGGAATATCACCGCTACCTGTGAGGTTTCCATATGTGAAAGCTGAAAAAGAATGACCTAAATTTCTTCATGCCAACTTTGTCCTGAAAGAATAAACTCAGAAATTCAGCCAGGCAGATCACAGCTCAGCTCTGAAGATCTTTTGGCAACCTGCTCCCTCTGTTCTCAGAGGGCCTCGGAGGAAGCACAAAGGTGAGGCTGCATCAGGCAGCCCCTCGGGTGGCGGCACCCCTGCGGGAGGCACTGCCCTCGGACAGCTGTAGCCTGGAATCCAGAGTTGCATTAAAGAGAAAAAGAAAGGCAGGCCTTGTGACTGGGCTCCGCAAAGCTGGCTCCCCAGAGCTCTTGAGATTCTGGCTGAGGTACTTGGGAAGCAAAACAGAAATTAAGCCCTCCTGCTCGGTGCCTGACCAGAAACCTTAGATATTTGCTGAAATTATGCAATAAGCACATTTGAAGAGAGGCCAACTGGAATGCATCCTCAAGGAAATGTGTTCTGAGGCCAAAGCCATTTACACGTGCTTGCCAGGTCTGTGGTGTAGACGCTGCACAGGGTTTGGAGCGGGAGAGGTGCATACAGGAGACTGTACTGTCCCTCTAGTCAAGTTGCAACTTGGTTTTTTTTTTAGTGTAAAGATCTTTCCAAGTACCTCACAGGTCAAAAGTCTGAAGAATTTCCAGCTCCTCTTGGCAATCCTACAGTGAACTCCTCCTGTTTCAGCAACACTCCCTTCTCATATGCCAAGGTGTATTTCTTAAAGTCTTTGTCCATGATCTGCTCACACTTGAGTGAGACTGTGAGTCCAGTGTTAAAACTCCTGACGTCTCACAGACTCACCTGCCCTCCCCAACAGGAGAACCCAAAGGGAGGAAAAGTGATGTCTGGTCACTCATTCAGCCAGCACAGCCAGACTGGCCCCAGCTCTCCAGCCTCTGAGGGGACCTGCACCTGTGCCCAGCTGCAGCCTTTCCCAATGTAGAGGCTGGTGAAGTCATAATGACTGCCCAGGGGAGGGACGTGTTCCTGGGCTGGGCCAACACTAGGGAAACAGGGCAGGTGTCACTTCAAGTTCCTTAAAAAATAGTTTATCAGATCAGAATTGGAGAGACTAGAAAAGAACGACCACCTTGACCAGCTGCGCTGGTGGTCGAAACAAATACTAATTTATACCTGTGGAACAAGAGAAAACCTGACTTTATCTCACCAGCAGTGTATTTTTCAGAAATGGTTTTGAAGTGGGTTTTCTACAGATTCTCAAATGATGGTCTTATTATTTAGTAGGGTAGCCTCTACTAACCAGTTCAAACATTAAGAAACACAGGAAATCTCAATAAAAACACTCCTGGGAGACCAGAAGAATAATTTCCAGATAAACTGAAGCTTACCAACCTAGTGCCAAAACCTCTTTTTTTGCCCTAATTATAAACTTTTTTGTGTGAAAATCTTTCTAAAACGATTCTTGGGCTTCCTTGACTTTTAAGCAGACAATACTAAGGAAAAAAATCTAGCTCATCCTTGATAATGCAATCATTTTTACAAAGTTTTCCTGGTAACAATTCTATTCCTCGTTCAAAACTCTGCTCGGAGGCTTTCCTGCCAGGCCTGCCCGGCCGGCGCCTCTGAACAAAGCTGCCTTCTCTTCACTTCACCGGTTTCCTTCACCCGCTTTATGAACCAGCTTGTCTTCCCTACAGACAGTAAGTCTGTCATGGGGCAGGCCCACAGCTCACGTTTGCACCACCAGAACCTAGCAGTCCACTTGTCCATCCATCCAAAACCATGATCAGGCCCCACTGGGTGCCAGGCAGTGTGTGGGCACGGGGTGTGATCCCAGCTCGGGACGCAACGTCTTGTGTGGAGAGTCAGCTCCCTCCTGGGAGGCTGGTAGAGAGCAGTGACATCCGAGTGACGTGTGCTGAGCTGCTGGCCCTCCCTGAAAGGGTCTCTGGCAACCGTGCCTTTGGACATGCCCATTTTCCCATCCTCTGTCTTATCCTCAGGCTCCTGCTTCTGTGGCGGTGCCTGCACTCACAGAGCTGCCCCTCTGCCCTCATGTTAAAGATCAGACAGCCTGAGCCCTGGTAGGCAAAGCATTCTCACTTTCCACAAAGCAGTGAAGCTTGACTCAGACACCTGGATGACATTCAGAAAGACTACGTACTAGAAGAGACCGTGTTCTTTGATTTTTCTTTTCTATGGGCAATAAAATACAGACTGTGTTTGGTTTCTCCTGCTCACAGTGCAGGGAACACTGAGGTGTCCCCAGGCTGGGCGACCACACATACTGCTATGGGCACTGCCAGACCGGCATTCCGCAGGGATCATGGCTGCCTGGTTGTGTCATCTTGAGGTTTAAAAAATAAAATCTCTCTTCAGATCTGAATTTGCTGTCTCAGAGTAGGTGGGCACCTGGGACACCTGAGCTTGCAGGAGGCACAGAGGGACGGTGGAAGTCAACTTCTTTATAAACACAAATGGTCACGGCACAGTGCCTCTGAGAGTGGAGTGGGCACTCCTGCCTGCCTACAAAGTACCCCCAGCACTTAGCTGAACTCTAGAAAGCGCTGGAGAGACAACGAGTTCATTGGCTGTCACTCTGACAAACTCAAGAGCCCCCGGTTGCTCAAGGCACAGTGCGACCTCAGAGACTGAGGGCCTGCTGGGGGCGGGACGATGGCAAGCCTGCAGCTCTCCATCCCACAGCCACACTCTCTCCATCACTCCCCGGTGTTTCCTCCAAGCACTGGGCCCTCGAAACAAGAGTAGAAGTTCATGATTTGGAAAGAGTGAGTCCCGTTCATTCATTCCCCTGGCTGAGGACCGCTCTGACACTGACCCTGTGCCAAGGAGTGCAGCTGGTCCCAGCACATCAAACCACAGCCTTAGGGGAAGTAAATATCAACCCTTGCGCAAGCAAGCTCCGCCTTTTTCTTGAGCAAACTCTTAAATATCCGGCTCGTTGATCTTTAATAAAATGATAGTAAGATATCTCCAATGTGCTCTGAGAAATGATGACAACGTGCCTGCTGTAGATTGATTGAATTGTGTTCTGCAAATTTCATATATTGGAAGCTTAATCCCCACTGTAACTGTTGAGGGTGTGAAATCCTATTATAGTAATTGAAAGGTAGGGCCTTGAAGAGGTGATTGGATTATAGGACCGGGCTGTAGTGAATGGATTTAAAATGGTGGTCATGGGTGTGGTTCTGAGGGCTTTAAAAGGAGAGGAGAGTCTCTCTCTCTCTCTGCTCTGCCATTTCACAATGTGATTCCCCGCGTCACTGTTGCCACCACCAAGACCCTCACCAGAAGTGTTCCCTGGACTTTGGACTTCCTAGCCTCCGAAACCGTAAGCAATAAATTTTGTTTTCTTTCTAAATTACCTGGTTCTGGGTCATTTTGTTATAGGCAACAGAAATGGACTGATATAGCACCACTGATCGTTTCTCATAAAAACCAGAGAATACGTAATGTCAGAAACTCCTGTAACATGAGAGTGGTTCTTGACCGGCTTTCTCCCTTTCCTGGCCATGCGGAATAGGGCCAAGCTCTGTTTTATCAGTTTGGAGGTATCTTCCTCTGCTCTGTCCCCAGCCCCAGACAGGGGCCAGCAGCAGGGGTGGGTCTGCTTCGTGAGGCTTTAGAATGACCCAGTTACTGAGGGAATCATTTGGACACTTGTCAAAGGTTATTTGGAAACCTTTAAAAGGCTGTTTCCTTTCCCAGTACCGAGTGTAACGTGATACTGACCTGTCCTGCAGTGTCGCAGAGCTGGAGTCTCACAGGCCGCCCGTCCACGGACACCACAGCTAAAAACAAAACCAAAAGGGCTATCAGGAGGTGTTGTTTAACCCTTTCCGGAAGACTAAAAGCTTTAGCTTACACTGCCATTCTCTCTCCAAACCCTTCGGCTCCTATTCTGGGTCCTCGAATGAATTAAGGATGAGCCTGCAACAAGGAGACGTTGGTGGAGGTGATTCTGGAGGTGAACACAAACCCCCTGGTTCACTCCACTGTGGGATGAGAGAGCCGATCCGGAGCCCTTGGATGGCGCCCCCAGAAGGGTCTGTGCTGTTCTCCAGGCCCCCAGGAAGATTTATTTTCCCGTCACACTTGTTTCAAAGGACCTGCAAACAACACGGGGTTGGAGGGGGGGGAGGTTAAGTGGGAGCTAAGCTTACAGTTTTAAATCACTGGAAAACTTCACAAATAACTTCTGTTTTCCCCTCGGAAATGTTCCCAAACCCCAGGGTTTATCGTGACATGCTGGCTTGTTTTGAGAACTTGTGCAAACAGAGGTCGCCCACATTGTCCTGTATAAAAGAGGGCAGTCCTTATCTCCCTCTGTCAGGCCAAAGATGGGGTTAAAAAGCAAATGAAAAGGAACAGAGCCCTGCCCACCTTTCCACTGGGGTTTGGGTATTTGGGGCGGGGGAAGGCTGGGGTCACGGCGGTTCCTATCTCAACCAGGCACTGTTTTGTCTATTTCCACACAACTTTCTAAGTGTTCATAAACGTTTCTACCAGTCACAGTACGGTGCGGTGGCAGCCCACGAGCACTGCACCATTTTATCTAGGGTAACTTGGAGAAAGGTAAAGGTAAGCTTGTGTTTTATTTTATTCATTCATTTTTTTGAAGGAGCAAGGTAGTAAGCGTTCCACGCACTACCTTCTGTGAATCTTAACTTCTTAAATTTCAAAAAGACCCGAAAAATCAAGCCAGAGGGTCCCTTTATCTTTGCATCCACCACAAGAGCTCTGAGTAACCGAGAGAGATACCGGACGGGCCGACCCGCGCGGGGCAGGCGGCGGGACGCGGAGGGGAGAACCGGGGCGGCCCCCGGGTCGCACCCACAGCTCGGCCTCGGCCGGGGCCGCTTGCACCCAACCCAGCGCCTGTGGGCT